AAAATGAATCCACATTCTCTTGCAAGTACCAAGTACTGCCTGAACTAAATTGTTTGTTTATTATGGAAACAGTAAAACACTGACATAAAATGACTATCTATTTTACAAGAATAAAGATTATCCATGCACATTACACAATATAATGATAAAGATTTCCACATAAATGTTATTCAACAAAGTAACAAAACTATTTTTGAAAAACTAGTTTTTGTGAATTACCAGTTATTTCTCATAATGGGATAGAAAAGTTTAAAGGCTAAGTTCACCTTTTGGAGCATGCTGTACGTTACACCCATATTTAGGGTGTAACGTGTAACATGCTCCTGCAGTCCCCCTCTCACTTCCTTCAATCTCTCCCCTTTCCTCAAGTGATAGCAGGTGGGGTTTTTCTCCCCACACCTGCTGTCACTCTACAAAAACAGCGCATTGTTCATTCACGGGAATCTGTGATTGAGAGCACTACATGCCCGTCTGATACCGCGGCAGATGGCTTGCTGATGAGCACCCTTGTAGTCCATTCACAAGCCCCTGCAGCTTTCAAACTGACAGCCTATACAGAGCTAAGCGCGGGAAAGCTGTAAGGCTTGTCTGCAGGGGTCTGACTTTGTGCACGTGATCCACTGATCATGGGTCAATGCTTTGCAGGCTCCTTGGGGGAAAAAAAAATAATAAATGCACATTTTCTCCCTGCAAAAATATGTGCATTTATTATTTTTTCCCCAAAGGTAGACTTATCCTTTACTGATACTGTATGTCTAAAACGTTATCATATATAAAGGTAACCTACTATGCTGGTCTGTGAAAGGCTTTATCTGACTCTGTTGTAGAAAAAAAAATGTAATCTAAAGTATCCCCTCCAAACCAAAGAGGAAATACTTACCTCTCCCACCACCCACACCAGTGAGGTCTTCTGTAATGACAAGAACCTTCCCTACTCTTTTAAAAGAAAAATGGGGGTTTAATGGTGATTGTAATTTTTCCAATAAATGTTGGAAGTCTTACGTGAATTTGTCTCTAGAACTCTTTTTAATGTCTTGCATGGTATTCTGCTAAACTGATGCTATTAACTGCCATTTGTAAAAAAAATGAATTTGGAATCTTGGTACAGCAAGACAGAAAATACGTTTCAGTTTCAAGGCAATCCTGGGTCCTTAAAAAGTACAGCCTCCAAAGAGCCACATTTTTTAGCCTAAGTATTACTGAAGTCAAGTTTCATAGCTTGGGTGAGAATCCTGCTGCACAAAGATTCTGGTACCTATACACAACGGATAGATACAGTGGGGATCGAAAGTTTGGGCACCCCAGCTAAAAATTTGTATTAATGTACATAAAGAAGCCAAGGAAAGATGGAAAAATCTCCAAAAGGCATCAAATTACAGATTAGACATTCTTATAATATGTCAACAAAAGTTAGATTTTATTTCCATCATTTACACTTTCAAAATAACAGAAAACAAAAAAATGGCGTCTGCAAAAGTTTCGGCACCCTGCAGAGTTAATATCTTGTACTGCCCCCTTTGGCAAGTATCACAGCTTGTAAACGCTTTTTGTAGCCAGTCAAGAGTCTTTCAATTCTTGTTTGAGGTATCTTTGCCCATTCTTCCTTACAAAAGTCTTCCAGTTCTTTGAGATTTCTGGGCTGTCTGTCACGCACTGCTCTTTTAAGGTCTATCCATAGATTTTCAATTATGTTGAGGTCAGGAGATTGTGAAGGCCATGGCAAAACCTTCAGTTTACGCCTCTTGATAACCCCCCGTGGATTTCGAGGTGTGTTTAGGATCATTATCCATTTGTAGAAGCTATTCTCTCTTTAACTTCAGCTTTTTCACAGATGGCATCAAGTTACCATCCAAAATTTGCTGAAATTTTATTGAATCCATTTTTCCTTCTACTCGTGAGATGTTCCCTGTGCCACTGGCTGCAACACAACCCCAAAGCATGATTGATCCAACCCCATGCTTAACAGTTGGACAGAGGTTCTTTTCATTAAATTCTGTGCCCCTTCTTCTCCAAACATACCTTTGCTCATTCCGGTCAAAAAGTTCAATTTTAACCTCATCGGTCCACAGAACGTGTTTCCAAAATGCATCAGGCTTGTCTATATGTTCATTTGCAAAGTTCAAACGATGATTTTTGTGGTGAGGACGTAGAAGAGGTTTTCTTCTGATGACTCTTCCATGAAGACCATATTTGTGCAAGTATCTCTTTATAGTGGAATAGTGTACCACAACTCCAGTGTCTGCCAGATCTTTCTGGAGGGATCGTGCAGTCAAACGTGGGTTTTGAATTGTTTTTCTCACAATCCTGCGAGCTGTTCTGTCTGATATTTTTCTTGGTCTTCCAGATCTTGCTTTAACTTCCAACAGAGGATATTGACATCTGAAAACGCTTTGCTATCTTCTTATAGCCTTCTCCAGCTTTGTGAGCGTCAACTATTTTCAGTTTCAGTTTTCTAGACAACTGCTTAGAAGAACCCATGGTGCTGATTGTTGGGGCAAGGTCAGATGAGTCTGGGCATTTAAAACCTTTGAGATTGACATCACCTGGTCTCCCAGACGATGATTGAGAACAATCCATGACACTGGCAGGTCTCAGCTTGGCAAAGGGGGCAGTGCATGCTATAAATTCTGCAGGGTGCCCAAACTTTTGCAGACGCCATTTTTTTGTTTTCTGGTATTTTGAAAGTGTAAATGATGGAAATAAAATCTAACTTTTGTTGACATATTATAAGAATGTCTAATCTGTAATTTGATGCCTTTTGGAGATTTTTCCATCTTTCCTTGGCTTCTTTATGCACATTAATACAAATTTTTAGCTGGGGTGCCCAAACTTTCGATCCCCACTGTAAATGCATAATTGGCACTCTGCATTCAGGGATGCTCACCTGCACTGATGTCAAATTGGGACGAGTTGCTGTATCCATGCAGCCATTGTGCTCCAATGGATATAAATGGACTGCCTGTATGCAGCACCCAGTGGCCCCAGCACTTGAAGACATGGCCCATTTATGGACTACGAGGGTAAGCACCAGTGTGAAGGTCTAGACAACTTTTATGCCTCCAGATCACTTTTTTCTGCATTTAGATGTTCCTGCTTTAAAATGTTACTAAACCCACAACAGTAAAATCATTCTGTATGTGTAGTAGAGCATGCTTGTTATACCCACTGTGGAACCTAGAGGGTTAATTCTCCACATTGTGTAAAAAGGCTGTTTGATCCTGTCTTCTCTGATCCCCCCCTTCTTCTACTGTCCCCAATCCATCTGCTGACAGTACAGATCGCTAGGATTCACTCTGCACATGCTCAGAGTTTAGTGTTTGGCTAGAGAGGTTTTTTTTCTTTGGGAAGGTGCATGTGATCAGCACAGGGCCAATCAGAACTGTCCAGACAGAGGATGAGAGGTCATGCAGCCTCATAGGACAGTCAGAGCAGAATGAAAACTCCTCCTACAAGATTAACTAATGCTCAGCAAGACAATGATAGAAGTCAGAAGACTGCTATATACTGCCGATAATAAAAGGTATTTAGCAGTTTATATTTACTAAAATAATTACATTTCCATGTTGTGTGTACGGTGGGGTCCAGATATAATGAATGCAAGGTCCTGGGTTTAGTAACACTTTAAAGCAGGCTTTGTAGCACTTACCCATGTCCAATTTGATCCCTGATACAGGAAAATTCCATTTTCTCTAAACGTAGCTAAAAAGCACCTAAACACATGTAAATGAGCAGCGTAAGTAGGATCACTGAAAAACATTACATGCATTTACTTGAGATATGTTCTTTATACGAATATAAATAAAGGTTTGACAGTGCTAGTGTGATGGAGGCCCTATTTAAAACAAAAAAAATGAAAGATAAAATCCCCATTTACTTATTTTATTACAGTCCAGTGATACAATGGGTTCCGAGTCTTCTATTTTCTGAACTGCAGAGTCATACATTATATTGCCTATCAATATAACATTTATACATTGGCCAAGGTATCTTAGAATAGAGTTCTGTACCACTAGACTGGGATTAACTCTTGAAGCAGCAAAGCCAGCTATAAACAGTGCATAGAAGCATTAACTACAATGTGAAAAATAATACTATAACTAGTCCAGTGTGCACTCTAGGAAAATTGCTAGGATATGGTGCAATGTCCCCTGAGAGGTACCTCTTTGCATAAGCAATAGGTAAAGGTCTCTGTGTAGGAACTGTAAAGGGACAATCTTTAGTTCTAACTCTTCAGCTGGCTAGCATTGGGGCCCAGTTGTACCGTTGGTGTGCATGAGAATAGTCCCAGTCAAGACCTGCAGGCAGCAATATGGCTACTAGATGACTGTATGGTCAGTTCCTAAAGAGATCAGTATCTCTGGCAGCAGACAGAAAATTCCCACAGCAGCTCACCAGTGCCAGATCACCATCCGGTTACACACAGTGATTAGTCTACTCTCTGCTCTACACCCAGTTGATTGTGGGCACCTCTGAACTAAGCATTCCAGATCCTGCTCAGGCCACCGATACACATTAGTAATAAGGCACACTGGACAGCAATGTTCACTCTCTGGTCTCCCTCATAGCAAGAGGAAACTGTGTCCAGTGCAGCCTGAGAAAATGCAGCTCTTTCCCCTCCTCCTGGCAATCTCTCTCAAGGAAATGCAGTTCAAAAGCTCTTGATTACAGTTGAGCCTTCTCCACTGGTCTACAGTTTCCATAGTACAATGCTGCCTGACTCAGTCTATTGAAATCTTTGTGTTAAGCAGCTCCTTCCTCTTTCTGATATAGCTGCTAACCAGTTCCGCACTGCAGGGCAGCAGGCAGCTACAGAGAACAGCTGCAGCCAGTGTATCTGTCGCTCTCTATTCTTATGCAAGCACCGGGCTACATGTGTATAATATCTATTGGATGCTATATTTCTCCTCACTTTATCCAAAACTAAGAAAACACATTTTGGCTGGATATACTATATGCCTTAACCCCCCTGGAGGTATTCCCGAGTGTAGCTCGGGGTTAACTTTCAGTGCCAAAAGCGGTAACCCGAGCTACACTCGGGATTACCCTGCAGCGTTGCTCAGGGATTCCCTCTTGCACTTACCTTGTCCTTCGCTCCCACGATGTCCCCCCTGCAGCGTTCTCGGCCATCTCCTCCTCCTCCATCCGTCTTCCGTTCCCTGCGAGTGTCGGGACGTACGGGACGTACAGGGGACGGAACTGGCGGGAAATTATAATTTTTTAAAAGTGACATTCACACAATACACTAAAATCACATAGTAAAACATTACTGTATCAAACCATTTCACATACATTTTGTCCCGAGTGCTTTGTCTAGTGCCCTGCCTGCATTTTTTTTCTTTCTGCCTGGAAACTTAGAATAGTCCATGGCGTCCAAAAAGCGTCCCTTTAGGTCAAAAGTGGTTTTAGATCAGCTAGAGAACAGCGATAGTAAATTAGAACTGCTTGCAGAATTGAGTGATAATGATTCGTGGGGAAATTCGGCATCAGACACTGAAAATGATTTTGTGACTAAGCTCAGTGATGTGCGAACTTGGCGCTGTATTTCAAATTTCAGTGTTTTTGGTTTGATTATTGAATTCAATTTATTATTATTATATTATTATTTTTTTATGATTATTTATTATATTATAATTTATGATTTCGGGTTTCAAATGTTATCATACCCAGAATGTTTACTAGACTCTTGTTCGGACAGATTTCAGTGAGTTATTCCTAAAAATTACAGGCCTACAATAACAAAACAACATATTTCCATGCAAAAAATGTACCGCTTTGAGCACAGAAATATTGACATAATCAGACCGCTAGGAAGGTTAAAGGAACAGGAGCCAAATCCCCTTCTCAGGAATGAAAATCTACAGACTGCTGGATGGAAGAGGAGTTCATCAAGGGTCTAGGGTGGTACAATTAGGAGCTGCTGGCTTGCACTCCAACAGAGACTGTGCCAGAGAAAAGAAGTTGTGAATATTTCTGGAAGTTGTCCTCAGATTTCGGTTCCCTTGGGCATCCTATATTCCCCTTACCCTATTCAAGTTCGAATCCCCTCAATAAAATACCAAAACCAAAGCTCAAGGACTGGTTTCTGTCTCTGGATGAAAGTTTGTTTGGAAAATGCTGAATGACTGGGTTGTGCAGGACTATAGGAGGACCCACATTCATCAGCAATCCAGAAGGGGAGTAGCGCTACATAAATATTGTAAAAGAGTTTCATTACAGCAAAATGAATGATACAGCATTTCACTACAGTGCTATTGTAGAGCTGCATTCTAGTCTTTCACCACTAGAGGCCACAAACAGGTAACACATCGATAATACATGGCGCAAACACATAGCATATTGCAGGTGGCTACATTGCATTGCAAATACTCATGCAAGAATTTAATTTTATCAAAATGTGGTCTCTGTATAATCAGGATATGGTTAGGAAAAACTTCAATGTTTGTATTATTTTTTTGTTAGATGTTTATGGGAATAGCAGCCTTTCTCTAATAAATGATTCCTACTTAAACAAAATGCCATTTCTTATCAGATGTCCAGCGTTATTGTACTACTTGTCCTATATTATTTAATCCAAAAATTTGGTATTTCTGCTTCACTATCCTATCCACATTTCTTTATGCTGGCCTGCAATAGGGAACTGCAAGGTATTCAGTATGAAGTCCAAGGAGCTGGGTAGGCGCTGAGAATTGTGGTTGTAGGAGTTACCCGTCCGTAAAATTCGGTTGTTTAGATCACCGAAATACAAAACTGACTAGAAAATGGTTTAATATATCCCTAGCACTATCAAACAAAACAACTATACTCATCAACAGGTTCCCTGATTTTCATATATAATAACTTGAAGAAAGTGCACCCAAATCAAGTCTTGCATTGAAGAGACAAAACACTTCTCCCTGCTGTTGCTGAGACATGACCTTGCACTCAGGGCCATGGATAAGGGGGTACCACCAGTCCTCCTATACAGGGCCCAGGCCAGCAGGGGGGCCCAGACAGCTGGATGAATCAGATTTGGGCAGGGAGGGTGATCGGCACGACGGAGCTGCAGCTACTGGAAATGATCCCCTGTATGGCTCTCTCTGCAGCAGCTGAAAGTTGTCTTCTTCCCTCCCACTGGTTTTCAGATGCTGCATACAGGGGGTCATTTCCAGTAATTGCCCCTCCACTGCACCCATCAACCTCCCCGTGCACCATACATTTCCCCCTGCTGTCCAAGCCCCCCTGTGTGCCCCCACTCCCACAGTGCAGCTGGCTTCCCTCCTCTCCTTTCCACCAGCAGCTGCAAGCACACAATAGGAACCTTTATGATGGAGAAGAGTTTAGAAAAACATTTCACATTTACCAGCCCCTTTCTTTCCTGAATGAACACAATGAGTGATCAGTACTGATCACTCACTGTGTTCATTCATAACTGAAGCTTATTAAACAGATTTTGTTTGGAAGGTGGGGCTGTCGGGTTGTCTCTATGGGGCCCTGTGGTTTCTAATAGCAGCACTGCTTGCACGACACCATCACTAACACAGATTGCCTCACGACATGGCATTCCCCTCAGCACTGAAGCAGTAACATTTTAACTGTGGATAGTTTCCTGTGTTCAGAGGAGGCCAAATGCCGCAACACACAGCAACACTATGCTATAGCCTCATACAAACTGGTCCATTAGTTGAGGCTGGTTTGTGTGTGGTCAAGACTCTGCAGAAACACCAACTCTAGATGCACACTGGCTCATCCAAGTGGTTACATGCAAACAGCAGCAGCACCATCCATTAATTTGTATGTAGTACAAATATGACAAGCCACTGCTTACAGCTGCTGATTGCACACAGTGCATACAAGCAGCCTTTACAACCACCAGCAAGAATTTACTGATTCTTGCCAGCAGTTGCCCCTGGTCACATACAAACTGCTGCTGTGTGATTGTAGCCAAAGGGTGTATCCATGTCTGACTAAAGGTTACTCAAGTAGAGAGCGTACTAATACCCAATGTCTGTTTTCTGAATCTTCTGTCTTGGAACCCATGCACACCTTTATGTTCTAAAATGTGAATCACGCTTGAGGTGCCATTATTTCTTAATGACACCCAAACAAGGGTAGGAATCACTTGTGAAACAAATTTGAAAAATGCACCAAAATGGTTAAAAAGTTATTGTTGAGTAAACCACTCCATGCTGAGAATTCAGTTTGATTGCGTTCTCACAATCTATCCAATATGATTGGCAGATATGAGGCCCCCAAAGATTTCAGTCCAATATCCCGAATGTGAACTCTCTTCAATCCGATGAACAAATCTGCGTCGGTAAAATCCCCGATCTACTGATCCGGCTTTCCTGACTGCCCCCTGGGGTTTGGTAGGAGCCCTGAAACTGCACCGATCTAATCTGCAGAACTGGAGCTCCTGTCCGATTGAGATTGGAGGTGGGAGGAGTAGGATTTTGATTATGACTGGACTTCAAAGGCTTGAAGTCTTATATATAGTACATCCCAGTTTTCATAATGCTGATATTTTAATTTATACTTCATCCTTCCAAGATGTAAAATGTAAAATTCTCACTTACCCAGGCCACAATATCATGAATAAACAGTAAAAAAAAAACTCCAGAAGAGAATACTGGTAATTATCAAGAATGATGCAGGTAGGGGTACAGCTGAGCTACAACATTATTTTATATATGAATGTGCTGTAGGGGTATAGTCCATAGGTCCAAAATATCCATGGCAGTTCCTGAAAGAGACTCTGCAATATATAAAGTAAACAGCAGAGGGCACAAACTAAGCGCAGAAAATAGGAAAAGACTTTATTAAAAATTACAAATGGCAACTTACAAGGTGCATAAGGATAAGAGTTTGTCATCCACCCAATGTGGTTAGCTGTCTTCAGAAGCCATGAAGCAGATGCCACCATCAGGAGCTGTGCAGGACACAGAAATTAAACTGCAAATTCTAGAGCCACCTGGAGGGCATGGACTGCAGAAGACTGGCAGTGTCATCACACCTGGGAGTGCTGCAACTTGGGGAGCGTGACTACATGTTCTGGAGCGTAACTGCTCCTTTTTCAGCCCCACATTGCAGCCCTCCCAGGTATGCTAAAACCTCCAATCTTGTGCAGTCCATGAGTTCTAGGGTGGCTCCAGGATTTCTAGTTTTGTTGCTGGTGTCCTACACAGCTCCTGATAGTGGCATCTGCTTCCTGGCTTCAGAAGACACACTGAGGCTCAACAGCCAATCGGACTGGGTGGATGACATACTCTTATCCATATGTACCTTGTGAGTTGCCACTTATATTTAATAACGTCTTTTCCTATATACTACACTTAGTTGGCGTCCTCTGCTGTTTCTTTCAGAAAAGAATATTGTCGCTTCATACAAGTTTTTCAATTACAGAAACCTGGCTTCAAGCACCAGATTCTGCTGCTCCTTCGGCCCTCTCCTATGGAGGCCTCCACTGGACTCACTCACCATGACCCAGTGGTCAGAAAGGAGGTGGAGTTGGTTTGCTTCTATCGCCACTGAGTACCTTTACAGTCTCTTCTACCCCTCCCTCTCTATGCGTCTCTTCTTTCAAGACTCACTGTATTCGGCTGTTTTCTCCCATTTCTCTGAGGTTTATAGTGATCTATCCTCCTCCTGGACCGGTGTCGCGCTTTCTTGATGGCTTCTCTGCCTGGCTACCCTACTTTCTCTCCTCTTAAATACCCACTATCATTCTTAGTGATTTTAACATACCCATTAATGTAAATAGCTCAATTACATACCAACATTTCAACCTAACCTCATCTTGTGCCCAGGGGCGGACTGACCATTTGAAAACTTGGGCACTGTCCGAGGGCCTGGGGTCAGTAGGGGGCCCCATGAGATGCCCCTGGTAACTTTTTCATAGGCTTTTTTGAGTTTGGGCAAGGACACAGGGGCCCCATGATCCCCTATTGCCCGGGGACCCCATGAGTTTTCAGTCCGCCCCTGCTTGTGCCCTAACACAATGAACACAGTCATTACACTTACTGTGAACTTAAGACCCATCTCTCTGGCAGTGGATGCAGCAGGAAGCTGGGACTGCTCTCTTCACTAAACATCCGTGCATTTATCCTGTTTGCACCCCTCCTGACCGGGCTTCAGCAGCACTTTATGCACGGGGTGACTACCCAGGCTCTGGACTTTCAGCCTACTTGACTCTCAAGGCCAATAACCATGGCTAAACGTGGTAAGGATTCTTGTTCCGCCACAGACCACATAGCCTAAAAATGATGGCTTGCCTCCTAGACCAGCCAAGGAGAACTACTGCGAGGCCAAGCAAAATTTCTTTGCTAAACCAGCAGCTAAAGACTTACCTTTGTGGAATGATCTGCTC